GTTCTTGTGAACTCTGATTAATTGAGAAATGTGATTGGCTTCCTGTTTTCAGCTGCCTGTTTATAACCCCTGTTTATAACCCTTGTATGTTTGTGGTGTGGCTGTGGCAGTGTGTGTGATGATAATGATGATCTGTGTTAGTTGTGTAATGCTTTCCCTCCACTGAAACCTGTTTTAGTTAGATGTAATTGTTGTCTGATTGTTTTGTTATATCCTCCCTCCATTTTGTTTGCTAAACTAAATCTAACTTGTCCTTTCTACTCAAGCCCATTCTCAAAGTGTCACGCCCTGGCTCTGGGGACACTTGTATGTTGAGCCAGGGTGTGCATTTCATTTGTTCTAGTTGTTGTATATCTATGTTGGCCAGGGTGGCTCCCAATCAGAGACGGCTGTAGCTCGTTGTCTCTGATTGGGAGTCATACTTAGGTAGCCGTTAGGCATTCATTATTTGTGGTTTCTTGTTCCGTGTTGGTTTGTTTATGTAACCAGGGACGTCACGTTTTCGTTTTGATCGTGTGATCATTCTAATAAAGAATATGTTTGCCTTCAACGCTGCGCCTTGGTCCTCCTCCTTAGACGATCGTGACACAAAGAAGCTGTGCGGAGCTCCCCACGCTCTCGGTGTAGTCGTATCTGTGGTACTCGGACAGGTTGTGACGTATGACTTTGCTGATTCACTTTTGTTTGAATCCTCAAAATGGGGAACAATATAATAACAATTAAACAGCATTGCCATTTCAGAAGTGTAATTTCATAACACTGTTACACTATAATTAATCTTGTAGCCCTACATCAGAAACACTATTCATCATACAGCACACAATACCCTCCTAGAAATATACACTGAACAAAAATATAAACGCAACATGTAAAGTGTTGGTCCCGTGTTTCATGAGCTGAAATAAAAGTTCGCAGAGATTTTCCATATGCACAAAAAAGCTTATTTCTCTCAAATTCTGTGCACAAACTTGTTTACGTCACTGTTAGTGAGCATTTCTGCTTTGCCAAGATAATCCATCCACCTGACAGGTGTGGCATATCAAGCAGCTGATTAAACAGCATGATCATTACACAGGTGCACCTTGTGCTGGGGACAATAAAAGGCCACTCTAAAATGTGCAGTTTTGTCACACAACACAATGCCACAGATGTCTCAAGTTTTAATGGAGCATGCAATTGGCATGCTGACTGTAGGAATGTCCACCAGAGCTGTTGCCAGATAATTTAATATTAATTTCTCTACCATAAGCCACCTCCAACTTCATTTTTGAGAATTTGGCAGTACGTCTAACTGGCCTCACAACCGCAGACCACATGTATGGCATCGTGTGGGCGAGCGGTTTGTTGATGTCAACGTTGTGAACAGAGTGCCCCATGGTGGCGGTGGGGTTATGGCACGGGCAGGCATAAGCTACGGACAACGAACACAATTGCATTTTATCTATGGCAATTTGAATGCACAGAGATACCGTAACGAGATCCTGAGGCCCATTGTGAGGCCCTTTTTTTTAAAGGTATCTGTCTCCAACAGATGCATATCTGTATTCCCAGTCATGTGAAATCCATAGATTAGGTCCTAATGAATTTATTTCAATTGACTGATTTCCTTATATGAACAGTAACTTAGTAAAATCTTTGAAATTGTTGCATGTTGCGTTTATATTTTTGTTCAGTGTACATATTTTTGGCAATGCTCATATTTCATATTGGTTTTTAATAAAGCTTGCATAGATGCAGACAGGTGGTACATGGACATTTGAGAATGACTGTTTACTTAGCAAACATTACAAACCATATATATATTTTTAAAAGATTTCTCAAAGAACAAAATAATGTTTAAACATAAGCCATGTATAGGCTTTGCCAACGCCACTGAAAGCAATGGACTAGTGGTAGTAAAGATGGAAGTCTAACTACTGGTTAAACCTTCAACTATTAGGTTTCACTGGAATTCTTACAAAACTAGAGAGCATATGAAAATCAATCAACTGGCAAGGAATAAACAAGTGTATGTGTGTTTCAATATTTAATCACTAAAAAGGCACCAAATACAGGCATCATATTAGTATCATTGGAATTATTTCCACAAATGATAGCACCAAAAAAACGTAATGCCATCTCCCCAACTTCCCACTGTTTTATTGATAGGCACACAGTTCTATGAGAGACAGAGAGAGTGCTATTGACAAATCAATGCACAACAAAATGGTTTTCTGCAGAAACATACTGCATTTACACAGGCAGCCCAATACTGATATTTATTTCCACTAACTTGTCAATCACATCAGATTCTTTTCACATCAGATATTTTTCAGAGCTGAACTAATTGTTCAAAAGACCAATTAGTGGGGGAAAAAAAATAAAGATCAGAATTGGGCTGGCTGTGTAAACGGCAGCCTATGTGCTTTGGGCGTTGTGCTGAAGTAGTCATCTGTCACAATCAACCAATCAATTGGTCGTGTCATAACACTTCCATATACACACAAATGTTACACATCATTCTTACAGACAATGGCAAATTCAGTAGGTTGGCCATATATACAGTAATACAGGACAAGAGCTAATAATATGGAAAAAAATACATACTGCAATATAATCATCATCAGGCAAATAATTCAGTGACTGAATATAGTCCCTAATGGGATCCTATTCCCTATATAATGAATGCACTGTATAGGAAATATGCTGCTATTTGGGATGCATCCACAGTGCTGAGGTGAAATTGAACTTGTATGTACATTAAAGAATATAACTGAAGCATTTTGGGTCATTTGGCAGAATGAAGGCAAGGCATAAAACACTAGACAGTATGAAACATTTTTTAAAATAATTATGTATGCACTCACTAACTGTAAGTTGCTCTGGATAAGAGTGTCTGCTAAATGACTAAAATGTAAAATGTAAAATGTAGACGCACACGTTGTATAAAATATTACAAGTCAGCATGTTGCAATTAAAAGACAAGAAATCCATTCTGTTACACAGTAGCAGTGATTATAAGGCTACGGTAGCATCCAAGGGGAGTGAGTGGGGTAGACACCAACACACAACTAGAATGAATAGAACAGACCTCCGCATTCAAGTCAATGATGCCATAATGGTTCGCGATTCTATTTCCATGGGCAACAACCTATCTAGACTACGTCATCTACAGTAGTAGTATTCAAAGTGCAAACAGTCGATCAAAACACTTGTTTTCTCGTCATCTGAATCTGATGGATATTGAAATCATTCACAGATGGAATTCCACTTTCTACCCTTGCTGAAAACACTTTGGTCTATTGGTATGGATTTGGAAATGCGTGAGACAGTACCGCATGTAATGGTACCAATGGAAAGCTGTTGAGCTATTGTCTAAAATATGAAAACACACTAGACTATTAGTAGGCTGAATCTTAGTTCTACAGGCAGAGAACTAGGTTTGAGGACAATGTGTGTTATTGCACTTGAATATACACTGAGTGTACAAAACATTAGGAACACCTGCTCTTTCCATGACATAGACTGACCAGGTGAAAGCTATGATCCCTTATTGATGTCACCCGTTAAATTCAGTTCAATCAGTGTAGATGAAGGGGAGGAGACAGGTTAAATAATTATTTTTTAAGCCTAGAGACAGTTGAGACATGGATTGTGTATGTGTGCCATTCAGAGGGTGAATGTGCAAGACAAAAAATGTAAGTGCCTTTGAACGGGGTATGGTAGGTGCCAGGTGCACCGGTTTGTGTCAATAACTGCAACGCTGCTGGGTTTTTCATGCTCAACAGTTTCCCGTGTGTATGAAGAATGGTCCACCACCCAAAGGACATCCAGCCAACTTGACACAACTGTGGGAAGCATTGGAGTCAACATGGGCCAGCATCCCTGTGGAACGCTTTCGACACCTTGTAGAGTCCATGCCCCCGACAAACTGAGGATGTTCTGATGGCAAAAGGAGGGGGGGGGGGTCGAGCAACTCAATATTAGGAAGTTCTTAATTTGTTTTACACTCAATGTACATCATTAACAAACAACGCTTTCAGTTGTGGACAATAGATCATAACACAATATAGGCCGGAATCCTAACAATCTTTCATTGAAATGAATGCATGATGAACGAAAAGCGGAGTTAGGATTGGGGTCGTCAGTGTGTTTAATACTTTCATAGTGGTCATATTGTGGCAATGGAATTATGCAGCAGAGATATAACTGAACTATTTAAACTATTCAAGACAAGCTCCCGAGTGGCGCAGTGGTCTAAGGCACTGCATCGCAGTGCTAGCTGTGCCACTAGAGATCCTGGTTCGAATCCAGGCTCTGTCGTAGACGGCCGCGACCGGGAGACCCATGGGGTGGCGCACAATTGGCCCAGCGTCGTCCAGGGTAGGGGAGGGAATGGCTGGCAGGGATGTAGCGTTTGCAACGCCAGGATTGTGGGTTCGTTTCCCATGGGGGGCCAGTATGAAAAAAATATTAAAATAATGTATGCACTCTGGATAAGAGCAAAGTACCTGAGCTACCTACCGTACATTGATCATTTTGTTGTTGTTATGGAAACGTAAAGCGAAAACAAGGCAGCAGATTTCACCTGACTGGTCATCGTTCAACGATAATGATGAATTACTAATTTCTCTATTCCTGAGGTAGCCCAGTTGTGAAATGATTTGAATAAATGCTGCATAGCTGGCCGTCAAAAACACGCTTCGCTTTTGACTTTTTATCTCACATCACAGTTGTATAAAAATACATTAGCGAACAATATCTTATTCCATAACTACAAACAAACGCTTTTTAGAAAATATGATTTATTTTAGATTTGTCATAAAATATTCCTTCACTTCAGGAGATTTTCACAAGGGCAATGTTTCCCCTTGAGTGGGAGGGGTGTAGAACTACTTGTACTGGTTTAAACTGACATGTTGAGGAGGAGGACCTGGAGCTTACTTTTGGGGGCCTTTGGCACCCCGTCTAGAAAATAATCTAGTTTAGGGGAAACACTGGAGGGAGGCGGGAGATCCTCAGACCTCAGTGCCGTCGTTGTGGAGGTTGTTGTGGAGCTTGACCTTCAGGTTGACCTGCCTGACCTTCGCCGCTCTGTTGACCTTTGCCCCTCTGTTGACCTTAGAGTTGACGTTGTCGTGATTCCGGTTGATGTTGAGGTTGATGTTCCTAACTGTGCAGTGTTTGGAGCTGAAGTTCTTCTCCAGGGTCTTCTCTAGATACACCTCTACCTTGGTGTTCAGAGGGTACTCCTCCGCCATCTTGGATGGCTTCTTCCCAGCCGACCGTCGGCACTTCCTGAAGAGTAAACAGGAACCCAGCAGGACGAGGACCAGCAGGGTCAGCACAGCCACGCCCCCGCCCATAGACCCGCCCATCTGGGGGTTAAAGGTGGAGGCGGCGGGGACCTCGAGTCGGAGAGTCTTCATGTTGGTTCCATTCTTCGTCTGGTCGCCCTCGTTATCGTAGATCAGAGACTCGTCGAGGGTGAGATGCCCGCTTCGGTCCACCAGGTCCCGGCGAGCATGGCTGTGGCCGATGCTTTGCCTCAGCTGATTGGTCAGGTCCCTGCGAGCCCGCCCCCTGCCGCTGCTGTGGGCAAGCTGATGGGTCAGAGAGCGCTGGATCCTGGGGCCGGAGATGGACTCTGGACCAATCACATAGATCACCTGCAGGTACCACTGATGCCCCGTCTCCACCTGACAATCAAGAGAGAAAGCGTTAAAGAGATTCTCCAGTACATTTGGATACTTTTTAGCCAGTAGTTCTGAAAGTAGCGCTCACGAGCCAAAAGTGGTCCCCGAAAATTGCGTAGTACGTCACATATGTGCAGATATGTACACCACTTCATTGCTCTCTCTCTCTCTTGCTCTCTCTCTCGCAAATGGCGAGGGGCTGAAGCTCATTGGCTAGACCTCAAGTTGCTAGGAGGCTGGCCCACGTGGAGGAAAATGTAGTGAGAATGGCGCTGTGCCAGAAAAACAGTCGCTTTCAAACTAGGGATTTCATGGCTAATTGAGGTAAGACAGTAATTATGCTAATAGATTATGCATGTATGATCTACACATTGACACATCCAGCCCAAAGCGGGAGGTTTAAAAAATACTTAGTAGTCGGCAGAGTTCCGGCGCATATCTTTAAATAAATCAGATCAATTCATGGTTTTATTTCTATGAAAGTTACCCTCAAGTCTGACGAAGACCTTTTTTTACACATTTATAACTCATACATAATGCATTCATAAGCGGTACATTATAATTTAATAAATGATGACGGTTCAGTGGATAAGTTGTTGATCGTCACTGACCTTGTACAGGGCATCAACCTTCATGGTAAACCCATCAACACCAGGCATCGCTGACACGGTCTGTAGTCCGGTTATATCTGATGCAAAGTTGGCCTCGAAGGGAACGTCATGGAAGTACCTATCACAGACATCTGGCTGCTTCCGATCCTGTAGGAGAAACGTTACCACAACGCTGCCATTACCGATCCGCACCGTATGTCAAACATTAGCATACATTTACATTTTAGCCATTCAGCAGATGTTCTTATCCAGAGCAACTTACAGTAGCAATTAGGGTTAAGTGCCTTGCTCAAGGGCACATCGACAGATTTTTCACCTAGTCGGCTCAGGGATTAGAACCAGCGAACTTTCGGTTACTGGCACAACCTGCCGGGTAGCAAACTGTGATGAGTGTGATAGAAGGAGTCAGGCACAGGAGGGTAATCACTGAATGCAGAGTTCATTCCGTCATACACAAATAGCGCTGGATAGCGACAAGCGAAACAGGCACAACGGAAAATCTACCCTGGCAATACAAGGTAACGGTAGCTTCAACAATAACAGGCACAGGGGAAATATCTACCCCGGCAATAACAAGGTACGAGTAGCTCCACCGAGCTCCACTACTCTCACAAATAAACATTCACCCACAAGGACAAGGGGGGCAGAGGGAACACTTATACACGGACTAATGAGGGGATAAGAACCAGGTGTGTATAATTGACAAGACAAGACAAATGGAGTGATGATAAATGGAGCGGCAGTGGCTAGTAAGCCGGTGACGACGAACACCGAAGCCTGCCCGAACAAGGAGGGGAGGCAGCCTCGGCGGAAGTCATGACACATACATGCTAACAGTATCTACATCTATACCCCATCAAACACTAGCATACATGTTAACAGGGTCATCTAACTGCTGGATAAAAGCAGTTATATCGGCTATGGTGTGGAATATACATTTGTTGTTTAAATCTCAAAAGTAGTTTCAGTAAACTTGTAGTTTCCAGCATTTGTGACAGAAGCCTACTCCCATTATTGTAAACATTAGCGTAAACAATCCAACACTACGATACCAGTGCCCTGACTTATTTGAATAGCTCACAGTCTTTGAATATCTCTTAAAACTATGACTACATACTGAGACAGGTGAACAGGTCACATAGGCGACGTACCACAGACAAATCAAAAGCCTTGCCTAGCAACGCCTCAGTCGTGGGTTCAAGTTCGAGAGAGACCACGTACTAAAAAATGTATGCACTCCGTAATACAAGTCGATTTGGATAAAAGTGTCTGCTAAACGGGATATATGGAATCTACAAGCAGCGGCACTCCAGGTTGCATTCCAGGTTGTCTTCATTGCAGTGCATTTCAGTAATGACAAAAATATGATATAACAATTTTCTGATATACGATGAGCGAGTGCAAAATAGACAACATAGAAAAATATTACACCAATATTAGAGGACCATGGAAGTTTAAATAAAAGGAGCCACCCATACCAGGATCAGGAACCTGTGTTTGAGGTGTTTGTTGGGCTGGATGCAGCCGTACTGAGGGCCCTCGTTGTACAGAGTCCCTGTGGGGTCGAAGAAAGGCACGTGTCCATCCCGTCCCGTACACAGGTACACTTTCTCCAGCTGCAGCTTGTAGGCTGCATTCAGGTTCTGCTCTGGGTTCCACAGCACCCTGCCGTACAGTGTCTGGCCTGTAGGGGCAGCAGAGAGATGAAAGGTTAGGTGATCAAATCAAATCAAATTGTATTTGTCACACGCGCCGAATACAACAGGTGTAGACCTTACAGTGAAATGCTTACTTACAAGCCCATAACCAACAATGCAGTTAAGAAAAATAAGTGTTAAGTAAAAAATAGATAATTAAAGAGCAGCAGTAAAATAACAGTAGCACGACTGTATACAGGGGGTACCGGTACAGAGTCAATGTGCGGGGGAACAGGTTAGTCGAGGTAATTGAGGTAATATGTACATGTAGGTAGAGTTAAAGTGATTATGCATAGATCATAAACAGAGAGTCACAGCAGCGTAAAAGAGGGGATGAGTGAGGGTGGGGGGGGGGGCAATGCGAATAGGTTGGGCCATTTGATTAGCTGTTCAGGAGTCTTATGGCTTGGTGGTAGAAGCTGTTAAGAAGCCTTTTGGACCTAGACTTGACGCTCCGGTACCGCTTGCCGTGCAGTAGCAGAGAGAACAGTCTATGACTAGGGTGGCTGGAGTCTTTGACAATTTTTAGGGCCTTCCTCTGACACCGCCTGGTATAGAGGTCCTGGATGGCAGGAAGCTTGGCCCCAGTACTGGGCCATACGCACTACTCTCTGTAGTGCCTTGAGGTCGGAAGCCGAGCAGTTGCCATACCAGGCAGTGATGCAACCAGTCAGGATGCTTTCGATAGTGCAGCTGTAGAACTTTTTGAGAATCTGAGGACTCAAGCCAAATCTTTTCAGTCTCCTGATACATAAGGTTTATTATATAATATGATACAGAGTGGCAAAAATGCATTACATGCAACAGGCAATATATCTACAGAAATGTATTCTATACATACAATACACTTACTGAAATATATATTAAATATTAGGCAGGTAGCATAGTGATTAGAGTGTTGGGCCAATAACCGAACTGAAATACAGTGCCTATGGAAAGTATTCAGACCCCTTGACTTTATCCACATTGTGTTACGTTACAGCCTTATTCTAAAACGGATTTAAAAATAAAAAATCCTCAGCAATTGACACACAATACCCCATAATGACAAAGCAAAAACAGGTTTTTAGAAATGTTTGCAAATGTATTAAAAATAAACCAGAAATACCTTAATTACATAAGTATTCAGACCCTTTGCTATGAGACTCGAAATTGAGCTCAGGTGCATCCTGTTTCCATTGACCATCCTTGCGATGTTTCTACAACTTGATTGGAGTCCACCTGTGGTAAATTTAATTGATTGGACATGATTTGGAAAGGCACACACCTATCTATGTAAGGTCCCAGAGTTGACAGTGCATATCAGAGCAAAAACCAAGCCATGAAGTTGAAGGAATTGTCTATAGAGCTCAGAGAAAGCATTGTGTCGAGGCACGGATCCAGGAAGGGTACCAAAAAATGTCTGCATCATTGAAGGTCCCCAAGAACACAGTGGCGTCCATCATTCTTAAATGGAAGATGTTTGGAACCACCAAGACTCTTCCTAGAGCTGGCCACCCGGCCAAACTGAGCAATCGGGGGAGAAGGACCTTGGTCAGGAAGGTGACCAAGCACCCGATGGTCACTCTGACAGAGCTCTAGAGTTCCTCTGTGGAGATGGGAGAACCTTTCAGAAGGACAACCATCACTGCAGCACTCTGCCAATCAGGCCTTTATGGTAGAGTGGCCAGACGGAAGCAACTCCTCAGTAAAAGGGACATGACAGCCCGCTTGGAGTTTGCCAAAAGGCACCTAAAGACTCTCAGACCATGAGAAACAAGATGCTCTGGTCTGATGAAACCAAGATTGAACTCATTGGCCTGAATGCCAAGCGTCACGACTGGAGGAAACCTGGCACCATCCCTACGGTGAAGCATGGTGGTGGCAGTATCATGCAGTGGGCATGTATTTCAGCGGCAAGGACTTGGAGACTAGTCAGGATCGAGGCAAATATTAACAGAGCAAAGTACAGAGAGATCCTTGATGAAAACCTGCTCCAGAGCGCTCAGGACCTCAGACTGGGGCAAACGTTTACCGTCGAACAGGACAACAACCTTAAGCACACAGCCAAGACAACGCATGAGTGGCTTCAGGACAAGTCTCTGAATGTCCATGAGTGGCCCAGCCAGAGCCCGGACTTGAACCTGATTGAACATCTCTGGAGAGACCTGAAAATTGCTGTGCAGCGACACTCCCCATCCAACCTGACAGAGCTTGAGAGGATCTGCAGAGAAGAATGGGAGAAACTCCCCAAATACAGATGAGCCAAGCTTGTAGCGTCATACTCAAGAAGACTCGATGCTGTAATCGCTGCCAAAGTTGCTTCAACAAAGTACTGAGTAAAGGGTCTGAATACTTATGTAAATGTGATATCAGTTTTTTATTTTTAATAAATTAGCTAAAATTTCTAAAAAAATGTTTTTGCTTTGTCATTATGGGGTATTGTGTGTAGATTGATGAGGGGAAAAAAACGATTTAATCAATTTAGAATAAAGTTGTAACGTAACAAAATGTGGAAAAAGTCAAGGGGTCTGAATACTTTCCGATGGCACTGTAAATATATTAAATATTAGGCAGTTAGCCTGGCGGTTAGAGTGTTGGGCCAGTAACCGAAAGGTCACTGGTTCGAATACCCGAGCCAACAAGGTGAAAAATCTGTCAATGAGTCCTTGAGCACTGAACCCTAACTTGCTCCAGGGGCGCCGTACTACTACAGAATGGAAAACAACACATTTCACTGCACCTATCCGGTGTACGTGACAATAAAACATCTATTATATATTAAAGCTGAAAAAGGTCAAGCTAAACTTGAAGCCACATATGACATTCACATAAATCACTTTGTGTTTCAAGAGTAACTTTTCTCAGTCTTAAGATGCCACTTTGAGTTTGTCCAGTGATGTGTGGAACAGTGATTGTACCCATTGAGAAGGCTCCCTTGTAGTCCATCTCAGCCATGGACATGTCAGAGATGGCTGGGTCCATCATGAACACCTTCTCATTGTTGCACAGCTGAAATTCAGTGTTGAGGGAGTATACCACAGGGACTGGCCGGTTGGTCTGCTGGAAGGCTATAGGTAACTGGAACCTGAGGGAGGGAGGGAGGGAGGGCAGGTTGGTCTGCAGGAAGGCTATAGGTAACTGGAACCTGAGGGGAGGGAGGGAGGGAGGGAGGGAGGGAGGGAGGGAGGGAGGGAGGGAGGGAGGGAGGGAGGGAGGGAGGGAGGGCGGGCGGGTTGGTCTGCTGGAAGGCTATCGGCAACTGGAACCTGAGTGGAGGGAGGGAGGGAGGGCAGGTTGGTCTGCAGGAAGGCTATAGGTAACTGGAACCTGAGGGAGGGAGGGAGGGAGGGCAGTTGGTCTGCAGGAAGGCTATAGGTTACTGGAACCTGAGGGAGGGAGGGAGGGAGGGCAGGTTGGTCTGCAGGAAGGCTATAGGTAACTGGAACCTGAGGGAGGGAGGGAGGGAGGGCAGGTTGGTCTGCAGGAAGCCTATAGGTAACTGGAACCTGAGGGGAGGGAGGGAGGGAGGGAGGGCAGGTTGGTCTGCAGGAAGCCTATAGGTAACTGGAACCTGAGGGGAGGGAGGGAGGGAGGGAGGGCAGGTTGGTCTGCAGGAAGCCTATTGGTAACTGGAACCTGAGGGAGGGAGGGAGGGAGGGAGGGAGGGAGGGAGGGAGGGAGGGAGGGAGGGAGGGCAGGTTGGTCAGCTGGAAGGCTATCGGCAACTGGAACCTGAGTGGAGGGAGAGAGGGAGGGAGGGAGGGAGGGAGGGAGGGAGGGAGGGAGGGAGGGAGGGAGGGAGGGAGGGAGGGAGGGACGGTTGATCTGCTGGAAGGTTATAGGTAACTGGAACCTAGGGGAGGGGGGCACACCAGTCAGGTATGTAGAGCACCATAAGCGTTCCTAGAACTCTGGTTTAAACACTCTAGTTTCAACGTATTATAGACAGAGAGCAAGCAAGGTTATTCATTAGCAAATAACAAAGGTCCAAGATGAGAAACACCAAAATAATTTTCTTTTTTAATGATTTTTGGGGGGTTGGATCAGCTTTAATATTGCAAATAGATTGTGGCTTCTATCAATGTAATTGTCTGCATAATTTCCAATCCCCCATATATTGTTTTGTTATTAATATATTATTTGAAATATATACAGTACGAGTCAAAAGTTTGGACACACCTACTCATTCAAGGGTTTTTCTTCATTTTTACTATATTTTACATTGTAGAATAAGAGTGAAGACATCAAAACTATGAAATAACACATATGGAATCATGTAGTAACCAAAAAAGTGTTAAACAAATCAAAATATATGTTATATTTCAGATTCTTCAAATAGCCACCCTTTGTCTTGATGACAGATTTGCACACTCTTGGCATTCTCTCAACCAGCTTCATGAGGTAGTCACCTGGAATGCATTTCAATTAACAGGTGTGCCTTGTTAAAAGTTAATTTGTGGAATTTCTTTCCTTCTTAATGCGTTTGAGCCAATCAGTTGTGTTGTGACAAGGTAGGGGGGGGTATACATAAGATAGCCCTATTTGGTAAAAGACCAAGTCCATATTATGGCAAGAACAGCTCAAATAAGCAAAGAGAAACAACAGTCCATCATTACTTTAAGACATGAAGGTCAGTCAGTACGGAACATTTCAAGAACTTTGAAAGTTTCTTCAAGTGCAGTCGCAAAAACCATCAAGCGCTCTGATGAAACTGGCTCTCATGAGGACCGCCACAGGAATGGAAGACCCAGTGTTACCTCTGCTGCAGAGGATAAGTTCATTAGAGTTACCAGCCTCAGAAATTGCAGCCCAAATAAATGCTTCACAGAGTTCAATTCACAGACACATCTCAACATCAACTGTTCAGAGGGGACTGTGTGAATCAGGCCTTCATGGTGGAATTGCTGCAAAGAAACCACTACTAAAGGACACCAATAAGAAGAAGAGACCCGCTTGTGCCAAGAAACACGAGCAATGGACATTAGACTGGTGGAAATGTGTACTTTGGCCTGGAGTCCAAATTGGAAATTTTTGTTTGGTCTGATGAGTCTAAATTTGAGATTTCAAGTTCAAACCGCCGTGTCTTTGTGAGACGCAGAGTAGGTGAACGGATGATCTCCGCATGTGTGTTTCCCACCGTAAAGCATGGAGGAGGAGGTGTTATGGTGTGGGGGTTCTTTGCTGGTGACACTGTCTGTGATTTATTTAGAATTCAAGGCACACTTAACCAGCATGGCTACCACAGCATTCTGCAGCGATACGCCATCCCATCTGGTTTGGGCTTAGTGGGAATTTCATTTGTTTTTCAACAGGACAATGACCCAACATACCTCCAGGCTGTGTAAGGGCTATTTGACCAAGAAGGAGAGTGATGGAGTCCTGCATCAGATGACCTGGCCTCCACAATCCCCCGACCTCAGCCCAATTGAGATGGTTTGGGATGAGTTGGACCGCAGAGTGAAGGAAAAGCAGCCAACAAGTGCTCAGCATATGTGGGAACTCCTTCAACACTGTTGGAAAAGCATTCCAGGTGAAGCTGGTTGAGAGAATGCCAAGAGTGTGCAAAGCTGTCATCAAGGCAAAGGGTGGCTATTTGAAGAATCTCAAATATAAAATATAGTTTGATTTCTTTAACAATTTTTTGGTTACTACATAATTCCATATGTGTTATTTCATACTTTTGATGTCTTCACTATTATTCTACAATGAAGAAAATAGTAAAAATAAAGAAAAACCCTTGAATGAGTAGGTGTTCTAAAACTTTTAACTGGTACTGTATGTATAAATATTTGTTCCTGTATTATTTTCCCCTAACCCTATCATCCCTCCTCTAATTGGAGTAAACTAATGGACAACAATACTTTGACTTCTACATCCAGCTTATACAGTGGGGAAAAAAAGTATTTAGTCAGCCACCAATTGTGCAAGTTCTCCCACTTAAAAAGATGAGAGAGGCCTGTAATTTTCATCATAGGTACACGTCAACTATGACAGACAAATTGAGAAAAAAAATCCAGAAAATCACATTGTAGGATTTTTAATGAATTTATTTGCAAATTATGGTGGAAAATAAGTATTTGGTCACCTACAAACAAGCAAGATTTCTGGCTCTCACAGACATGTAACTTCTTCTTTAACCTCTTAAGGCCCAAGCTGTTTTTTTACATGCATTTTTTATTTCTCTTTGCTATTTGGGCTTATTGGAACCTAATTAGAATAAAAACTAAGTATCATCTTTTGATATTATGTACTTTTAGAGAAAAATGATGTCCACATATGTGGATTCATGGTCCGAATTTCCATAAAACACAATAAAGTCACCTTTGTGTAATAGAATGAAAAACTCTTCATTTCTGCCTTGAACACAGCAGTTTTTTCCTGACTGTTTTTTAATGTATTAATAACACATACACATATTTTTTGAACATGTTTTGACTATCGGAGAGTAAAAATAATATGGAAACATTGCATTTTTGCCCATTTTGGACAGTTAAAAATAGTGTTTGGAACATTTGATATGCTGCAAAATAGTTGCAGGATGACATTGTATGTCTGTAACAAAATATAAAACATTCAAAGCATTTTAAATAGTCACTATTGCATTAGGCTAACATTTTCAACACAACTAATTTAAGTATGTATGTATGTATTTAGTGATTTAATTGTTATTTATTTCATTGGGACCATGTACAGCTTTTTAGCTGCATCAGAGCTAGCTTTTTTCCCATTTTACGTGTGTGCATGTTTACAAGCATATTAGCTGTTTCGAGGAGCCTCAGTCCATAAGTACACTTACGTGTACTTCATGTTTAGCGACCTACAAAGTTGCTAGTTTTACACTTTTTTTTTCAAATTTGCATGTCATGACAAATATACAAGGCTTTTATAAATATCTAAATCAGAATAAGCCATGAAATATGAAAGAACGTCTACACAATTGTGGACATAAGAGCTAAAAAGTGCTGTCCACGTATGTGACCACTAAGCCCTAGGAGGTTATGAGGCTCCTCTGTCCTCCACTCGTTACCTGTATTAATGGCACCTGTTTGAACTTGTTATCAGTATAAAAGACACCTGTCCACAACCTCAAACAGTCACACTCCAAACTCCACTATGGCCAAGACCAAAGAGCTGTCAAAGGACACCAGAAACAAAATTGTAGACCTGCACCAGGCTGGGAAGACTGAATCTGCAATAGGTAAGCAGCTTGGTTTGAAGAAATCAACTGTGGGAGCAATTATTAGGAAATGGAAGACATACAAGACCACTGATAATCTCCCTCGATCTGGGGCTCCACGCAAGATCTCACCCCGTGGGGTCAAAATGATCACAAGAACGGTGAGCAAAAATCCCAGAACCACACGAGGGGACCTAGTGAATGACCTGCAGAGAGCTGAGACCAAAGTAACAAAGCCTACCATCAGTAACACACTACGCCGCCAGGGACTCAAATCCTGCAGTGCCAGACGTGTCCCCCTGCTTAAGCCAGTACATGTCCAGGCCCGTCTGAAGTTTGCTAGAGTGCATTTGGATGATCCAGAAGAGGATTGGGAGAATGTCATATGGTCAGATGAAACCAAAATAGAACTTTTTGGTAAAAACTCAACTCGTCGTGTTTGGAGGACAAAGAATGCTGAGTTGCATCCAAAGAACACCATACCTACTGTGAAGCATGGGGGTGGAAACATCATGCTTTGGGGCTGTTTTTCTGCAAAGGGACCAGGACGACTGAACCGTGTAAAGGAAAGAATGAATGGGGCCATGTATCGTGAGATTTTGAGTGAAAACCTCCTTCCATCAGCAAGGTATTTGAAGATGAAACGTGGCTGGGTCTTTCAGCATGACAATGATCCCAAACACACCGCCCGGGCAACGAAGGAGTGGCTTCGTAAAAAGCATTTCAAGGTCCTGGAGTGGCTTAGCCAGTCTCCAGATCTCAACCCCATAGAAAATCTTTGGAGGGAGTTGAAAGTCCGTGTTGCCCAGCGACAGCCCCAAAGCATCACTGCTCTAGAGGAGATCTGAATGGAGGAATGGGCCAAAATACCAGCAACAGTGTGTGAAAACCTTGTGAAGACTTACAGAAAACGTTTGACCTGTGTCATTGCCAAGAAAGGGTATATAACAAAGTATTGAGAAACTTTTGTTATTGACCAAATACTTATTTTCCACCATAATTTGCTAATAAATTCATTAAAAATCCTACAATGTGATTTTCTGGATTTTTTTCTAATTTTGTCTGTCATAGTTGATGTGTACATATGATGAAAATTACAGGCCTCTCTCATCTTTTTAAGTGGGAGAACTTGCACAATTGGTGGCTGACTAAATACTTTTTTTCCCCACTGTACTTACTATATACATTTTCCGGACACAGTATATTTCACATTCGTTATCTTTTGTTTGTTTTTAGTCCCATACTTCAGCTACCCTCAATCCATCCCATAATACCTTTTTTAGTGACATACTTCTCTGGGGCGTGAGCTGTGCAGGACAGAGGCTTGTCTCCAGGGTCGGTCCAGGGCTGGGTGGGCTGCACGGTACAGGGGATCAGAAACACTGTGTACTCCCCGGAGTAGTCCTTCCTGGAACACAAGAGGGCAAAACATTTGGTAAGCCCTTGTAACAGAGATCATTAATAAACCTTGCCTGAGACCTGAGGACTTGCATTGGGTCCCCCGGCTAATGCCTAGGCTTTAGCTGAGCTCAGCAGGCTAACACATTTTTGTGATGACCAGGAGTTCTGCGTTTCGAACTCCAGTTGGTCACACCCTCTGACACTAATTCTCCAGAACTTAGAGAAAGCAGTCATGGGCTGGAACAAAAGCCTGCCCACCAACTAACCCTTAAATGACCTGCTGTAAGAGCAGATGGCCTTCCAGAGCTGGTAGGGAGAGTCAAAGGACTTGGTATATATATTCATCTATTTATATAACTGTATATAACAGTATATCTGTGTACTGACCTGCTGTAAGAGGAGGTGGTCCTCCAGAGCTGGTAGGGAGAATCAAAGGACTGGGCGCTCCAAATGAGCTGCATGTCAAACTCTATCCCCCCCAGGTGGTCCGGGGCCATCAGGTAGGACTTTTGGCCAGGCAGGGTGTGGTGTTCTGGGACAAACTGGCCTGGAGGAGGAAGAGGGAGAAAACTAGAGGTTAGTCATCGTGTTACAGACCACTATTGACCTGGTCTCACAGGAGTAGGGACCAGACCTCAAAACAGTAGTCTCCTTCAAAAAGCTGGAGTCGAGTATCTTATTACAAAAGTAATAAGATACTAATTACAGTGGTGCTCTGGTACAAACTCGCCTGGCAAGGCGGAGAAAAACACAAAAATACTTGAGACGTTTCCTTAGCTTAGCTTTTACAGGGGGCTACATGATGCCGTGTACTGGTCACACAGTAGTATACTGGTAGTTGAGGACTGACCCCTGAACTTTGAGGACTGACCCCTGAACTTTGAGGACTGACCCCTGAACTTTGAGGACTGACCCCTGAACTTTGAGGACTGACCCCTGAACTTTGAGGACTGACCCCTGAACTTGGCATGTGTTTTGAACTCGATGACCAGACGACCGTCATCTCTTATGTATATCCGGATGATCTGGAGTCTGGCTGACAGAACGCTGTCTGTCTGGATGCCTAGTGGACACAGAAACACAACCGTTAAATGGAGTTAAACAGAAACACTACCGTTAAATTGAGTTAAACAGAAACACAACCGTTAAATTGAGTTAAACAGAAACACAACCGTTAAATTGAGTTAAACAGAAACACTACCGTTAAATTGAGTTAAACAGAAACACAACAGATAAATGGAGTTACAGAGAAACACAACAGTTAAATGGAGTTATACGTAAACATAACAATTCCAAGGAGAGTCACATAGATGTATGATATTCCATTTAACACACACCACCCACACAACACACCCCCACAACAGCCCCCATACACCCACCTCCCCCACCCACCCCCCCACCCACACACACAGCCCCCCCATAACCCACCTCCCCACCCACACACACAGCCCCCCATAACCCACCTCCCCACCCCACACACACACACACACACAGCCCCCCATACACCCACCTCCCCACCCACCCCCCCACCCACACACACAGCCCCCCCATAACCCACCTCCCCACCCACCCACACAGCCCCCCATAACCCACCTCCCCACCCACACACACACACAGCCCCCCATACACCCACCTCCCCCACCCACCTCCCCACCCACCCACACAGCCCCCCATACACCCACCTCCCCACCCACACACACACACAGCCCCCCATACACCCACCTCCCCACACACACACACAGCCCCCCATACACCCACCTCCCCACCCACACACACAGCCTCCCATAACCCACCTCCCCACCCACACAGCCCCCCATACACCCACCTCACCACCTCCCCACCTCCCCACCCACCTGTCCTCCAGAGCACGGTATCATAGAAGAAAGAGAACTGCATTTCAGTGTGGTGTTCCAGAGAGGCCCAGCCCCTGGGAGCTGTAACGTAGATATAGGACACATAGAGAGGAACCTGCACCGTCAGGAACGACTGGGCCGAGTCACGCACCTGGGGGGGGGGGGGGGGGGGGGACATAAGACATGACATGAGATCAGATTACATAAGGTGACAATGACACAAGGTGACATGACATGACATAATGTTACACAACATGGCATGATAAAGGTGACATGACATGACATAATGTTACACAACATGGCATGATAAAGGTGACATGACATGACATAATGTTACACAACATGGCATGATCAAAGGTGACATGACATGACATAATGTTACACAACATGGCATGATAAAGGTGACATGACATGACATAATGTTACACAACATGGCATGATCAAAGGTGACATGACATGACATAATGTTACACAACATGGCATGATAAAGGTGACATGACATGACATAATGTTACACAACATGGCATGATAAAGGTGACATGACATGACATAATGTTACACAACATGGTATGATAAAGGTGACATGACATGACATAATGTTAATAATAATAATAATAATAATACGCCATTTAGCAGACGCTTTTATCCAAAGCGACTTACAGTCATGCGTGCATACATTTTTTGTGTGTATGGGTGGTCCCGGGGATCGAACCCACTACCTTGGCTTTACAAGCGCCGTGCTCTACCAGCTGAGCTACAGAGGACCACCATGTTACACAACATGGTATGATCAAAGGTGACACGGTAGCAACAGCTGTAGTCAGTCCTAGACTGTTTTGCATACTGTGGTTGGGATGGAAGGATGAGTCACAGGAAAACTATAAGAGCAGCCATGGCTACAGTACACAGGCTGTGATCACATGACTGAATGTGGACCTGATAACACTGTGGACCTGATGACACTGTGGACCTGATGACACTGTGGACCTGATGACACTGTGAACCTGATGACACTGTGGACCTGATGACACTGTGGACCTGATAACACTGTGGACCTGATGACACTGTGGACCTGATGACACTGTGGAACTGATGACACTGTGGACCTGATGACACTGTGGACCTGTTGACACTGTGGACCTGATGACACTGTGGACCTGATGACACTGTGGACCTGATGACACTGTGAACCTGATGACACTGTGGACCTGATGACACTGTGGACCTGATGACACTGTGGACCTGATGACACTGTGGACCTGATGACACTGTGGACCTGATAACACTGTGGACCTGATGACACTGTGGACCTGATAACACTGTGGACCTGATGACACTGTGGACCTGATGACACTGTGGACCTGATGACACTGTGGACTCAGATTGTGTTTGGGTAAAGGGATATCTGTGAGAAGATTATGTTTACTAGTAATGGTAGATTCTATGCAAGCCTTCAATAATCAAAATAAACTGGAGTGAAATCAGAGTATAGCAAACAAAATGCAGTGACAATGATAACCCACTAGAGAGGGTATGGTACCTGAACTAGAGGGGGTCTCATACCTGGAAGTCAGCAGTGACATCGATAACCCACTAGAGAGGGTATGGTACCTGAACTAGAGGGGGTCTCATACCTGGAAGTCAGCAGTGACATCGATAACCCACTAGAGAGGGTATGGTACCTGAACTAGAGGGAGTCTCATACCTGGAAGTCAGCTGTGACGGAGCCTCCACAGACATCTATGAGTTCTGTCATGTCGTAGTAAGCATCAAAGGTCCAGATACAGCTCTTCAGGTTGAGGTGTTTGTACAGCTGGATGCTCTTAGCCTCTCTGACACTGGGGTTGAACTGGTAGGGTCTGTCATAACCCGGACCAAGAGAGATACTGTCATATTGGACATCATCCAGGAAACCTGTCTCTGAAACACACACATGGAGGACAGACACACAGAGTGAGGACAGAGAGACAGAGAGGACAGAGACACACAGAGAGGACAGATACACACAGAGAGGACAGACACACACAGAGAGGACAGACACACACAGAGAGGACAGAGACACACAGAGAGGACAGACACACAGAGTGAGGACAGAGACACAGAGAGGACAGAGACACACAGAGAGGACAGACACACACAGAGAGGACAGACACACAGAGAGGACAGACACAAAGAGAGGACAGAGACACACAGAGAGGACAGACACACACAGAGAGGACAGACACACAGAGAGAGGACAGAGACACACAGAGAGGACAGACACACACAGAGAGGACAGACATACACAGGGAGGACAGACATACACAGAAAGGACAGACACACACAGAGAGGACAGACACACACAGAAAGAACAGACACATACAGAGAGGACAGAGACACACAGAGAGGACAGACACACACAGGGAGGACAGACACATACAGAGAGGACAGACACACGCAGAGAGGACAGACACACACAGGGAGGACAGACACACAGAGAGGACAGACACACGCAGAGAGGACAGACACACACAGAAAGGACAGACACACAGAGAGGACAGACACACACAGAGAGGACAGACACACACAGAGAGGACAGACACACACAGAGAGGACACGTCAAACACTTTGTTAGAGGAAGGGTGTTTACAATTTGTTGTATGAGTGTGTTTGTGAGTTCAAACGTATGTGCATGTTCAAGGATGAGTGTCTGTATGTGTGTGTGTGTGTCATGTGTCTGCGTGCACACCTTAAAGCGTTTGCGTGTGTCCTTACCGGAGACCCCCTGCAGGTCTTTGAGAGTGACCAGGTTAGAACAGATGTGCTGCTGTCTGTAGATGGACTCTGACAGCAGGAAGTGCAGGTTGTGGAGGGGCATGCTGGACACTAGGGGCAGCATACCATCCTGGTGGGGGATCTGCACCGAGATGTGGATTCTACAGAAGAAGAAGAAGACAAACTGAACTACTATTATAGACCATATGGAGGTGTTCTACTATTATAGACCATATGGAGGTGTTCTACTACTATTATAGACCATATGGAGGTGTTCTACTACTATTATAGACCATATGGAGGTGTTCTACTACTAGTATAGACCATATGGAGGTGTTCTACTATTATATTAGACCATATGGAGGTTGGTCTACTACTATTATAGACCATATGGAGGTGTTCTCTACTATATTATAGACCATATGGAGGTGTTCTACTACATTATAGACCATATGGAGGTGTTCTACTACTATTATAGACCATATGGAGGTGTTCTACTACTATATAGACCATATGGAGGTGTTCCTACTATTATAGACCATATGGAGGTGTTTTTTCTACTATTATAGACCATATGGAGGGTGTTCTATTATTATAGACCATATGGAGGTGTTCTACTATTATAGACCATATGGAGGTGTTCTACTATTCATATAGACCATATGGAGGTGTTCTACTATTCATATAGACCATATGGAGGTGTTCTACTATTATAGACCATATGGAGGTGTTCTACTATTATAGACCATATGGAGGTGTTCTACTACTATTATAGACCAATGGAGGTGTTTATACTATTATAGACCATATGGAGGTGTTCTACTACTATTATGACCATATGGAGGTGTTTCTCTATTATATACCATATGGAGGTGTTCTACTACTATTATAGACCATATGGAGGTGTTCTATTATTATAGACCATATGGAGGTGTTCTACTACTATTATAGACCATATGGAGGTGTTCTACTACTATTATAGACCATATGGAGGTGTTCTACTACTATTATATTACCATATGGAGGTGTTCTACTACTATTATAGACCATATGGAGGTTGTTCTACTACTATTATAGACCATATGGAGGTGTTCTACTACTATTATATACCATATGGAGTGTTTTCTACTACTATTATAGATCATATGGAGGTGTTCTACTACTATTATAGACCATATGGAGGTGTTTCTACTACTATTATAGACCATATGGAGGTGTTCTACTACTATTATAGGACCATATGGAGGTGTTATACTACTATTATAACCATATGAGGTGTTCTACTACTTATTATAGACCATAGTGGAGGGTTATATTATTATAGAACATATGGAGGTGTTCTACTATTATTATAGAACCATATGGAGGTGTTCTACTACTATTATAGACCATATGGAGGTGTTCTACTACTATATAGACCTATGGAGGTGTTCTATATATAGACCATATTGGAGGTGTTCTACTACTATTATAGACCATATGGAGGTGTTCTACTATATTATAGACCATATGGAGGTGTTCTACTATTATAGACATATGGAGGGTTCTACTATATTATAGACCATATATGGAGGTGTTCTAACTACTATTATAGACCATATGGAGGTGTTCTATTATTATAGACCATATGGAGGTGTTCTACTACTATTATAGACCATATGGAGGTGTTCTACTACTATTATAGACCATATGGAGGTGTTCTACTATTATAGACCATATGGAGGTGTTCTATACTATTATAGACCCATTATTATAGACCATATGGAGGTGTTCTACTACTATTATAGACCATATGGAGGTGTTCTACTACTATTATAGACCATATGGAGGTGTTCTACTACTATTATAGACCATATGGAGGTGTTCTACTATTATAGACCATATGGAGGTGTTCTACTACTATTATAGACCATATGGAGGTGTTCTACTACTATTATAGACCATATGGAGGTGTTCTACTACTATTATAGACCATATGGAGGTGTTCTACTACTATTATAGACCATATGGAGGTGTTCTACTACTATTATAGACCATATGGAGGTGTTCTGCTATTATAGACCATATGGAGGTGTTCTACTACTATTATAGACCATATGGAGGTGTTCTACTATTATAGACCATATGGAGGTGTTCTACTACTATTATAGACCATATGGAGGTGTTCTGCTATTATAGACCATATGGAGGTGTTCTACTACTATTATAGACCATATGGAGGTGTTCTACTATTATAGACCATATGTATTGCGATTCAATATTGCGATTGTATTGAGATCCGATGTTTAAAACATATTGCTGACTATGTCTGCTGCAGGGGGAGAAGAGAGAGCATGAGAAAATGTATTTAGATCAGTCAGGTAAATAAAGGTGCTGAAAACAAAATGGCTCCCTATTTAAAAAGAAGATGGAGAACAACCTTTGATGCAGGTACAGCCGACTAGCTAAAAAATTATTTTGCAATATTGTCCGAAATAATGTTATGATATATCGTCAGAAATAATATCCAGATATGTAAATGTACCGATTTCTCCATCACTCTTTGTGTATGTTCGTGTACATGCGTTCCTGTGTGCATGAGTGTGTGTGCATGTGTGTGTGAGTGTGTGTTAGTGTATGAATATCTCCCTGCTCACCGATTCGGGTGCTCCTTTTGTTTGACATCCAGGTACTTCAGCGTGGCGATGAACGACTGCGCCTGGAATCCTCTGGCGGTTCCCGTGGTAACGGTGGTGTGGCAAATGGAGCTCTCGGTGCTGATGGTTGCTATGTTACTCCTCAGGGGTGTTCCAAGATGTCCGGACTTGTCCCGGGCCTGGGCCACACAGCGCACATGGAACCGCCGAGAGAAATATATACTGTCCAGGACCTGTGGATAAAATATAGACAGTCAATCAATCATCATCAATCACGCATGTGGAACCACCAGTTGTAGATCACACACAGAACCCTCTCTTCACACACAACAACATAACTCTCTCTTCACACAACAACAGAACTCTCTCTTCACACAACAACAGAACCCTCTCTTTCTTCTATAGTCGTGGTCAAATGTATTGAGAATGACACAAATACTAATTTTCACAACGTCTGCTGCCTCAGTTTTTATGATGGCAATTTGCATATACTCCAGAATGTCATGAAGAGTGATCAGATGAATTGCAATTAATTGCAAAGTCCCTCTTTGCCATGAAAATGAACTTAATCCCCCAAAAATATTTCCACTGCATTTCAGCCCTGCCACAAAAGGACCAGCTGACATCATGTCAGTGATTCTCTCGTTAACACAGGTGAGAGTGTTGACGAGGACAAGGCTGGAGATCACTCTGTCATGCTGATTGAGTTAGAATAACAGACTGGAAGATTTAAAAGGAGGGTGGTGCTTGAAATCATTGTTCTTCCTCTGTTAACCATGGTTACATGCAAGGAAACACGTGCCGTCATCATTGCTTTGCACAAAAAGGGCTTCACAGGCAAGGATATTGCTGCTAGTAAGATTGCACCTAAATCAACCATTTATCGGATCATCAAGAACTTCAAGGAGAGAGGTTCAATTGTTGTGAAGAAGGCGTCAGGGCGCCCAAGAAAGTCCAGCAAGCGTCAGGACCGTCTCCTAAAGTTGATTCAGCTGCGGGATCGGGGCACCACCAGTGCAGAGCTTGCTCAGGAATGGCAGCAGGCAGGTGTGAGTGCATCTGCACGCACAGTGAGGCGAAGACTTTTGGAGGATGGCCTGGTGTCAAGAAGGGCAGCAAAGAAGCCACTTCTCTCCAGGAAAAACATCAGGGACAGACTGATATTCTGCAAAAGGTACAGGGATTGGACTGCTGAGGACGGGGGTAAAGTCATT